ACACACAGAGCAGTCCTTCTCTGTTAGACTTAACATACCACAATGATTTAGCCTCCAGATCTCTGATCATCTTTTTTAGGTGGGTGGCGTGGATTAGAGCCACTGGGGGGGGGGAATAATAATAACAGTTCACTTCTTTTCTATTCCCTTATCCATCCCACCCACCCAAACTCTTTCTCGGTGTAGCAGCGCAGCAACAGCACAAGGCTGCATCCCCCCCTCTTCCCATGTGTTCTGTCTGCGGTGCACGTAGGGGGAGGGAAATAAAAAAAATAAAATAAGATAGAGCTGGGAAGGAAGGAAGGGGGGGGCAGAACCCTAAGAGGTAAATGCTCCGCGAACCAAATGCTATTTTTAAGTACGGCTTGGCATTTTCCAATGTGCCCCAGAAGAACCCAAGTGGGCAGGAAAAAAATTTTTGCACTCCTACACACAGAACAGTTTTTAAATACACACACACACACACAGAGAGAGAGAGACACATTTGGCTGCTGCAGCAGCACGGATTCGATGCATCCAGACAAGGCAGGGATTATTTTCATCATCCACCTGCACTCTCACCCCCCCCCCCCACTCCCTAAGTTTTGGCTGGACACCCCATGCCAGCTTGGGGCTGGGAGGTGGGGGGGAGATCACCCCATGAATGCTTCATCTTATTTGTCTGGCACATCGGGTTCTCTCCCCCCCTCCCCCTCTCTCCGGAGAGCTGGGTTTTTCAGCCAAAAATAATTTAAAAAAAAAAAAAAAAGCCCAGGCAAAAAAAAAAAAAGAGCTGCAAATACAAAATGTATTTGCAGAACCTTGGACAGCTCCCGGACTCGGGTTCGAAAGCGACGCCCCTCAGCTCGGTTTAAATTCCCAAAAAGTTTCCAAGGGAAAAGTGGGGGATGGTGATGATCGATGGGGCTTGCAAAGCAGCAGTCCACCGGACACGTTTTTATTTTATTTTTTTCCCCTCGTGGGAAAAATCCCACGGAAGTTTTGTTCTGGGGCAAGTGATCCCCTCCTTTGCAACCCAGCATTACTGCATGCCACGTAATTTGTATTTTGAGGCATGCCGATTAGTCTGCATTCATCAAAGCGGCAATCAAATATATTCTCTCTATTATTATTATTATTATTATTATTATTATTATTATATTATTATTATTATATTATTAATTATTATTATTATTATTATATTATTATTATTATTATTATTATTATGTTTCAAAGCTTAGCTACGAACTCCCCAACTTCAGCCGAAAACCATCCCGATCCGCATTACATCCCAGCGCATTCCTGCCTTCCAACCTAACACCCCCCCCCCCCCCATCCAACCTTTCCGGTTCATTTTATTGTCGGATCGATTCCCCTGTTCGAGTAGTCTCAGTTCTAACCGCGAGCAAGTAACTCAGTTATTTGCAGCCGAGTTAGGGAGGGAAAGAGGGAGAGGCAGTTGGATGGGGAGTTTGAGCTGACAGCAACAAACCCCCCCCACCTCCCCCAAGCTTTTACCCAATACTTCACATGTGGATGAGGATGAGGATGGTGGAGATGAAGATCACGCGAGTCAGGGAAGGGGGGATAGGGGGAGGGGGAGAGAGAGAGAGAGAGAGAGAAAGGCCCGCTTCTCACCTATGCTGATGGTGTTGGGGAAGCGGCGAGCGAGGGGTCCAGGAGCCCCAGCAGCAGGAGGAAGAAGAAGACCGTCGGAGCCGCGGGTTGCCCCATGGTGGGTACCGGTCGTTATGCGAGTCGGCTGCTGGCCCGTTGCGCGACTGGCTACCACCACCCAACTAGCCGGGCCGGCATCGGCGCGCAACCGCGGGGCTCCTGCTGCTGCTGCTGCTTTGCTTGCTGGAAAGAAGGTGGGGCGCCTCCGGGATGCCCCCCCCCCCAACAACCCCCCCGCGTTTCTTACGCCCCTCCTTCGCTTTATCACTGGCCAGCCCAGCCCGGCGAGGGATCCGCTGAGTCCGCCCGGCGAGGGTGGCTTCTCGTTCTCTCGCCCTTCCCGCGTGGAAGGATTGGATGGATGGATGAAGGAAGGAAGGAAGGCAGAGAAGGAAGGAAGGCAGAGAAGGAAGGATGGATGGAAGGAAGGAAGGCAGAGAAGGGAGGAAGGAAAGAAGGATGGATGGAAAGGAAGGAGGGAAGGAAGGAAGGAAGGAAGGAAGGAGGAGGCGCGCTGGCCCGCCCCCCCTCCCTTCCCCGCCCTCCTCCTCCCTCCCTCCCCTCCCTCCCTCCGCCTGGCTGCCTGCCCACCCGCGGATCGGGTCACGCGGGGAAGCTCCGGGTCGGGCTGAAACTTCTATTCGCCGCCGCCGGCCGCTTCGTTCCTTGGCGCAGAACTGCAGCGCGGAGCCACGGGCTGGCTGGGGCTGGGGGGCGCCGCGGCGGAGGAGGCAGCCGAGCGAAGAGCTGCAATGGTGGGGCGGGGGGGGGAGACGCGGCCAGGCAGCCAGCCGCGGGGCTCACGTGGATCTCGCTTTAAAGCTGCGGTCGCCGCTGGCTTCGGGCACCCAGCGCCATCCCCGCCTAAAAGCCTGCTCGGGGAAAGGAGAGGAGGAGGAGCGGAGGAGGAGGAGGAGGAGAGGAGAGGAGGTGGGGGGAAAGAGTGGGGACGGCAAGTGAGGGTTGGGTGGATTTCCGCGTCGTCTTCGGCTCGGCTTTACTTAGACGACAGGTTGGGTTCCCACGACACGCGAAACCCCTTTGCAGAACGGGTTGTGTGAAGCCGAGCAGGGCCAGAGAGAAGGTGGGAGGAAGAAGGTCGCTGCTTCCAATGGTTATCCTGCAGAGGAAAGGGAGGGAAGGAAGGAAGGAAGGAAGGAAGGAAAGGAGGGAGGGAGGGAGGGAGGGAGGAAAGGAAGGAAGAGAGGGAGGGAGGGAGGAGGGAAGGGAGGGAGGAAAGAAGGAAGGGAGGGAGGGAGGGAGGAAGGAAAGAAAGAAAGGAGGAAGGAAAGAAGGAGATGGAGGAAGGGAGGAAGAAGGAAGGAAGGAAAGAAGGAAGGAAGAAAGGAAGGAAAGAAAGAAAAAAGAAAGAAGGGGAAGGAAAGAAAGAAAAAAGGAAGGAAGGAAAGGAGGAAGGAAGGAAGAAAGGAAAAGAAAGAAAGAAAAAGAAAGAAGGGGAAGGAAGGAAGGAAAGAAGAAAGGAAGGAAGGAAAGAAGGAAGGAAGGAAGGAAAGAAAGAAAGAAGGGAGGAGGGAGGAAAGAAGAGGGAGGGAGGAGGGAGAGGGAGGAAGGACAGAAAGAAAGAAAGAAAGAAAGAAAGAAGAAAGAAAAAAAAAGGAAGAAGAGGAAGGAAGGAAGGAAAGGAGGAAGGAAGGAAAGAAGAAAGAAGGGAGGGAGGGAGGAAGGAAAGAAGAGAGGGAGGGTGGGAGGGAGGAGGGAAGGAAGGAAAGAAAGAAAGAAAGAAAGAAAAAGAAAGAAGGGGAAGGAAGGAAGGAAGGAAAGGAGGAAGGAAGGAAAGGAGGAAGGAAGGAAGGAAGGAAGGAAGGAAAGGAGGAAGGAAGGAAGGAAGGAAGGAAGGAAGGAAGAAGGAAGGAAGAAGAAAGGCTCCCGAGCCCTTGTCCTCCCGGGAGTGTTAATTTCCAAGCAGGTTGGTCCAGGGGAAAGCGGAACCCCTTCGTGCTTTGTCCAGGGAGGGACCTGCAGCAGATGGCAGCACAGATTCAACTTTCTCTGCTCCCAGTCAAGTTGAGCAACGTTGAGTTGGCAAGCACCGGGATGGAAGACCACCAGAAAAGGTTGCGGCTGCAAGCCAACCCAACGTGAAAAAAAACCATCTTGGGAAAAACCCAAAAATGTTTTTTTTTTTTTTTTTCAAGAGACAACTGGACTTTCTGGGTTTTTTTTTTTCCTTTGAAGACGTTTCGCTTCTCATCCCAGAAGCTTCTTCAGCTCTGAGAAGAAAAACCAGAAAGTCCAGTCGCCTCTTGAAAAAAAGCACCTTTGGGACAACCAAGATCTGGAGGACTGAGAATCTCTATAGACACTCAAGAATTTAGTAAGTGCGCATGGCTGCACCAATAAGATCAGGTGAAACAGAAAGTCCTGGAAGGAAAACATTTACTTATAAGTTTATTTATTTATTTATTTATTTATTTATTTATTTATTTATTTATTTATTTATTTATTTATTTATCATATTTGTATACCGCCCTACTCCCGGAGGACTCAGGGTGGTGAACAGCCAAGATAAAAATACAAAGAACATACAAAAGTTAAAAACTATTAAAAATAGATTAAATAATTTGGGCTCAAAAAACAAATTTAAGACATCCAATTTATCTAAAAACATTTTAAACCCAATTTAAAAGAGGAGAGTTAGGCCAGACCAGCCTGTTGGAATAAAAACGTTTTTAGGGCGCGGCGGAATATGCGTAAGTCTTGGATCCTCCTTGTATCTCCGGAGGGAGCTCGTTCCAGATGGCAGGTGCCCCCACAGAGAAGGCTCTCCCCCTGGGGCCGCCAGTCGACATTGTTTGGCCGACGGCACCCTGAGGAGCCCTCTCTATGGAGCGAACTGGTCGGTGAGAGGCTACTGGTGGCAGAAGGCGGTCTCGTAAGTACCCTGGTCCTGAGCCATGGAGCGCTCTAAAGGTGGTAACCAAAAACCTTGAAGCGCATCCAGAAGACCACCGGGAGCCAGTGCAGCTCGCGCAGGAGGGGGGTCACATGGGAGCGCCACGTCGCTCCCATCACCACCCACGCGGCCGCATTCTGGACCAGTTGGAGCCTCCGGGTGCTCCTCAAGGGGAGCCCCATGTAGAGAGCATTGCAATAGTCCAGGCGTGAGGTGACAAGGGCGTGAGTGACCGTGCGTAACGAGTCCCGATCCAGAAAGGGACGCAACTGGCGAATCAGGCGAACCTGATAAAAAGTCCTCCTGGCCACGAGATAAGATAAGTTGCTTATCTCCTGAAGCTGAAGAAGCTCCTTGGATGAGAAGCCAAACGTCTTCAAAGAGAAACCAGAAAGTCCAGTCGCCTCTTGAAAAAGCTCCTTTGGGACAACCAGGACCTGGATGGACTGAGAATCTCCATAGACATCTTGGAAAAAGCGACGTCAAAAGAACTGAGGGGGCGCTATTACTTCCTGGAAAGGGGTGGGTGGGTCCTTTGCCTCCTGGCATTTTAGCCTGGGAAGATGGCAACCCCACCTAGAGTTCTTCACCTGCCATCAGAAAGCTAAGCAGGATCCTGGAGGCTTCGTCTTTGGAGCGAGGCCATCAGGAACGCGTTGGCTGTGGGCTAGATTGCAGTGTGAAAAGCATCTTGAAAGGCAGCAGGGAGCAAATCAATTTCAAATGGTTTAATTTAAAACAAAAAACAAACCACCTACAGGGGAGTTGAGTTCTACAACTCAAGGTTAACTTTATTGTTTTGAAGAATTAAAGCCAGGTAAGCATTTCACCTGAGGGCTTTTGATGTAGGTGCTCTGTGAGCTGAGTTAGTCTCTTGCAGATGTTTCATTACCCAATTAGGTAAGATCATCAGTAGTAAACTCTGTTCCTTACCAGTCCTGATGATGTTACACCTGGTTGGGGTAATGAAACATCTGCAAGAAAAGAAGAAGCGAAGAGAGCACCAAAAAATAATTTTTCTATGTTTGCATTATTTTTGCTGTAAGCCGCCCAGAGTCCCTTGGGAGTTGGGCGGCATAGAAATGCGATAAATTCAATTAAATTAAATTTCAACCCTGAGCTACAGATATTCTCCTTTATGGGTTTTTTGATGTCTTCGATGGGACTTTTTGTCCAGGATCTTCCAAATATAGTTGCTCTGGGAACCCCATCCCTCCCCACCACAAAAGAGCTAAAAATGCAAAATGAAAAGATCCAAGCAAGAGAAAAGATCCAAAGAAATCGCTTCGTCTTTACAGCAGTTTTAAGTACAATGATAAATTTACTCCTTGCTCCACGGTGACAACATAACTCTATTTTTTCCCCATTATCTGTTCTTTCTAATCATGAAAACCACAAATCATAAGTTCGTTTTGGTTTCTGTTTCATGCAAAAAGTCTACAAGGGGTTCCCAGTCAGTAATAAAGCAGAGCTAACGTCTTTTCTCTGATCGAAGAAGTCAATTTAGCTATCTCACCAAATACCTCCATCTTTGGCAGGGGTAAAATCCAATTTTTTTTACTACCGGTTCTGTCGGCGTTACTTGGTGGCGTGGTGTGGCTTGGTGGGCGTGGCAGGGGAAGGATACTGCAAAATCCCCATTCCCTCCTCACTCCTCACTCACTCACTCAGGGTTCCAAGTAACACCCCCAATGAAAGAAAACTCCAAGACTTGAAATTCCTCAAAATTCCATTTTATTGGAATTCCATTTTATTATTTATTTTATTATTGGCACATCTGGGAAAACCCGAATCTGAAAGTTTCCAGGTTTTCCCCACCCAAAGAAAAGGCCAAGTTCCCTGCCCAACACCTACATGTCTATCCAAGCACCGTCCCAACTTGAGATGCCTCCCAGTTCCAGCCTTCCAGGTGCAGGGCAAGATGTCCTTGACTCTCTGGGAAAGGAATGTTATTATGACTATATATCACACTTGCTCCATACAATCCCCCCTCCCAGTTTCCCACAGTAGTAAATGTGGCAGGTCTGAAGGCCTAATACAAAAGATGGCTTCCAGGCCTGACATACGGTCAAAGAACCATAGACTAAATGCTGGGTGTCCGTGTATTGGCCCTGTAGAGAATCAAGAGAAGAGAAATATTAGGATATCAGCTTTTTCACCCTAGATCAGAGGTGAGATCCAGCAGGTTCTGACCGGTTCTGGAGAACCGGTAGCGGAAATTTTGAGTAGTTTGGAGAACCGGCACCTCTGGCTGTCC